ATGTTGGCACTGCTTTATTGGAGAAGCCACCTTAAGCCCATGCTAAGGACCACGTATTGAGCACCTACTATATGCTGGGCGCTGTGCTGGGTGCTTTCCTTACGATTACATTCCCTCCAATATCCTGGGCACTTGGTGGGTGCTTTTGTCTCCATTTTACAGATGGGACGATTGTTGCAGAGTCTGGGGGTCGTTGAGCCCAGGACAAGCGTGAGCAGCAGATTGAGGTCCACCCAGCCCCGAGTTCTTCCTACTTCTCGACCTGCTGCTTGAGAATCCCAGATAAATTCAGCCATCATTGGGCGACCCCCCGCAGGGGCTTATGGTGGGTGGGGTATGGTCACCTCTTCTGAGATCCGCCCCCCACCCCACGGGCGGGAGGGCTTGCCTGCCGCCTCCAGAGTCTCAGGCCCAACGAGGGGCCGGTACCCTCCTCACCCATCCCTTCCCTACGCAGTCTGCTCTGTGCTAGACGCTGAGGCTCCTGCCAGGAAGGTGCTGCTGTGTGATGGCCTCCGGTCGGGGGCGGCTGGGGGACGCGGTCAATGTCCACACACTCAGGCTTGTCCTGGGGATGGGCCCATCTCTTGCAGGCAGCTGAGAGCTGGAGCTGACTGCCAGCCTGCTGACCGCTAATGACTGCTAGAAACCAGATGCTTTAGAGTGGGATATATTTTTGTCTCGCTCCTCATTTTATTCCATGATAAGATGACTTTTCAGTGAATTCATTGGGAACCCTGACTTTGGGAGAGCCAGGTGCCTGGACAGGATCTGGGCTTGGCCCCAGGTGGGTCTGGGCCACGGAGAGAAGGGCCACTGCACCTCACCCAGGGCAGGCAGCCGAACCAAGCTCTGCTTATCCGCAGCAAAAAGAGCGAGTGCTCAACCCCTCTTCTGTTTAAACCGGCCCCCGGGCCACATGCACTGGAATGCTTCGGTTGCCACATTGCTGTTCCTAGACGGGGACCGTGATTTCCCAAGAGCCAGGAGGAGGTGGCCCTGCTCACTGCAGCTTTGCTCCAGAGCGTCTGCCCTGCTGCACGTGGTTGCTTCTGTGTGGGAGGATTGGGGCTGCGTGGTCTCCCTCTGCACATTCCACTTGGGAAGGTCAGGGTGCCTCAGCTGGCCCGCCCTGCTGGCCTCTGGTCAAGGAGGAGCCGTGTGGCCATGGTGACAGCCACAGCCAGTGGGACTGGTTCTTCTGCTGAGCTCCCCCCGGCCCCGCTCTGCTCAGCTGAGCGGAAGTGATGCACCAGTCGCCCAGGGTCACTACCATCTTGGCTGCTGTAGGCATTTGGACCAGTGGGCTGATTCCCTGCAGGGGCGCAAGCCCGCACCGTGTGAGGGAGTTGAAGGCGGCTGCGGGTTTTGCCTACAAGTCATGGATCATTTGGGAGCCTCAGATGAGAATCCCAGCTGGGCTGCCTGGTGACACAGCCTGCCTCACACTCCCCTTCCTG